GGAATTTGGTGGCTGGGAATTTGGCAGTTGGGAATTCGCGAATGTGTGAAGCCCGTGAAAGTTAAAAACGTGAATGTTGAGGGAGACCTGTACTCTCATTTAACCCTCACTGTGTGGTTGATCAAGAACTCAAGCAAGGAGAGGAAGGCGTGCCTTGTAAGGCTATGGTACATACCTGTGTTCCTCATAAAACTGTTTACGAGGAAGGAAGAGTCCACTATCCCCTTCCGGGAAAGCTAAATCCCTCAAAGGGCTGAAGGGGGGCTGAGAGATACCCCCTTTACTGGAGTATTTTCTCCACACTATTACATGTAGAAAAACGCCCTCTTTATTTTTTTTTTTTGTAAATATTTGGAGCGCTGGGCGAAAGAACATAGATCTACATTTAGACAATTAAGGGGTTTGAGGGTTAATTATGGGGTTCTGGACAGTGAAAGGGTTAATGATCAATTTGTACCTAAAAATTATGAAATATCACATATTCTTCAAAAAATACATATAAAATTAATCACATCTGCTAAGTAAATGATAGGATGGATAATGAGAACCTTCAAAACTAGGGGTGCCAAGCCAATGATGGTTCTCTTCAAATTGCTTGTTCTCTTTAGGCTGGAATATTGCTGTACAATAACAACCCCTTTCAAGGCACACAAAATTGCAGATCTAGAGAATGTGCAGATAACTTTCACAGTATGCATAAATATGATAAAGCATCTAAACTACTGGGAACAGTTGAAGCCCCTTGATTTGTATTACCTGGAATACAGGCAAGAAAGGTATATAATAATATACACTTGGAAACTCCTAGAGGGACTAGTCCCAAATTTGCACATGAAAATCACTCCCTACAAAAGCAAGAGACTGGCCAGGAGATGCAACATTTTCCCAATGAAAAGCAGGGGTGTCACAGGTACACTAAGGGACAACACAATAAGTGTCGGGCCCAAGACTATTCATCTGCCTCCCAGCATACATAAGGGGATTACCAAGACCCCTGGCTGTCTTCAAGAAGGCACTGGACAGGCACCTAAAGTCAGTACCTGATCAGCCAGGCTATGGTTCGTATGTCGGTCTACGTGCAGCTAACAATAACAGCCTGGTTGATCAGAACCTGATCCTTCATGAGGCCTGGTCAGAGACGAGGCTGCAAGGGTGTTGATCTCCAAAACCCTCTCCAGGTATAACACTAGAAGAAACTGACTAAATGTCACTGTGAATTCATACAAGAAGAATCTGACCAAATTTTTTGAAGTACGTACTGTATCTTTCATTTTCACAAAACTGAGAGTTATGTGAGTGTATTAACCCTTTGACTGTCGCGGCCGTATATATACGTTTGCGAGGTACCGTGTTTGACGTATATATACTCATAAATTCTAGCGGCTTCAAATCAGGCAGGAGAAAGCTAGTAGGCCCACATGTGAGAGAATGGGTCTGTGTGGTCAGTGTGCACCACATAAAAAAAATCCTGGAGCACGCAGTGCATAATGAGAAAAAAAAAACTCCGACCGATTTTTTTAATTAAAATGCCGACTTTGTGGTCTATTTTCGTATAGTATTTGTGGTTGTATTCTCGTTTTCTTGGTCTCATTTGATAGAATGGAAACTATATTATAGAAATGGAGGTGATTTTGATTAATTTTACTATAAAAAGAACCTGGAAATGGAGCACAAAGTACAGGAAATGTTTGATTTTTGCCGATGTTCAAAAGTGAACAAATGATGTCATTGTCCAATAAATGTCCAAATAGCCATTCTAATACGCAGTCATGAATGGGTTGATGTAATTTTTACAATTATTACAGTATTGCAGTAGTCTGCATAACAGTAAATCTTCTATTTTTTGTTTGAATAAAATTTCAAAATAAAAAGCAAGAGTAATATCACAGGGACCTGGAGACACGACTGATGAACAAAGAAAATGTTATTTTAGAACCAGGAATGTCTGCATTGTTCATTCTGGACCTTATTTTGAAATTGTCGTATTTTTTAATTTTCGTGAAATTGGCCAAATTGCAAATTTCTGACCATGTTATTGGGTAGTTGAAATCGGTAAATGGGCAGTTTCTTGTACTCAATCGATAGAAAAAATAGAGTTCTGAAGAAATAGTTATGAGTTTGGTTGACTGGAATAAAGGAATTAGCCGAAAATAGGGCTCAAAGTGGGCGAAATTGCCGATTTTTAAATATCGCCGAAGTCGCTAACTTCGCGAGAGCGTAATTCCGTCAGTTTTCCATCAAATTTCGTTTTTTTGGTGTCTTTACAATCGGGAAAAGATTCTCTATCATTTCATAAGAAAAAATAATTTTTTTTTTTTTTCGAATATTTTGCGACACCAGAAGCAACTTCAGGATTTGGCCCTTCGACAGTCAAAGGGTTAATAAATGATATTGAGATGGTCAGCAGGAAGCTAATATTTCACAAATGAAAATAGACAATTCAAATGATGGATAATTATCTAAAAAAATAATTTAATATTTTTAGTGTCCTATTTATGAAGGGATTCAGGGGAAATTAGTTATAGGGACTTGATTCCTGGAGGTGGGAAGTACAGTACGTGCACTCTGAAAGATGTTGCAGTTCAAAGGGCCATCTGAACTGTGATGTTGGCACTTTTCTGGTAAAACAGCAGTTGAATGAACAACAGTGAATACGTTTCCTCAGTTTTTAGGTCAGTGTACCTTGGTGGGAGATGGCCTGTGTTAAAAAGAATTCTGACACAATACTCCACTGATACATGACAAAACTGTTTATCTTCATTTTCTAGGATACTGTCTTCATTAGAACATTGGAAGGTACTTGAGGGACTGGTCCCTCACCTGCATACTGCTATACTAACTTACTGGAGTGGAAGATGGGAGAGAGTGTGAAATAAACCCACTGAAGAGTAGGGTGTCCATAGGTACAATAAAAATTCAACATACTACTGCAAGTTATAAAAAATATTGCTGGAACAAGGAGAGGGTTCTAGAAGCTGGACAACTTCCTTTTGCAAGTGCTAGATCAAACACCGTATTTAACACTGTCAGTGAAGTTAGTTATCTTGAGGGTTATCATGAAAAATATCTACAAAAATTTCAGCTAGGACACTTAAAATATGTACCTGTTGCCAGTTGTCTTGTTCCAGCAGATTGTCAAATGTGACAGTTCATAGCTTCCTGACTTCACATCTCATAATTTATAACATCTCTCTCTACGCTGGCAACAATGTTCGTCTACAAAAGTCTTGATACAAACTATTACAGTGGAACCTCCACTTGTGAGCGCATCCAAGTGTGAGTTTGTCCAAATACAAGCAGTCGATCAGTCGATTTTTTGCTTCCATAGGTGAGGAAAATTTCCATAAGCGGGCCTCAAAGTAGGGTCCTTGATGCGGGTGAAGGGCTCTTGCTCTTGATCTAAGGAATTGGATCTCATTTGTTTGTTGGGCTATCTTATTAAAACTTGGGCAATGTATGATGGAAAGATGCCTCTTAACGTACACCAAAGTATGAAAGAAATCAGACCATAAATAATGGAGTTCACTTCTCAGCAATTAGCTGCCCCTTAGCAGTATTTTCGTATGGTTTTTATGGTTGTATTTTCATTTTTTTTGGTCTCATTTGATAGAATGGAAGATATATTACAGAAATAGATATGATTTTGAATGGTTTCATGATAAGAAGTACCTTGAAAATGAGCTCAAAGTAGCAGAAATGTTCTATTTTTGCCAATGTTCAAGAGTAAACAAATGATGTCACCTCCATTCCAATATGCAGTCATGAATGGATTGACATTATTTATACAATTATAACAATAATGCATTAGTCTGCATAACAGTAAATCTTCTATTTTTTGTGTGAATAAAAATTCCAAATTATTTATGTTGTAATAATAATAATAATAATAATCATAATAGGTATAATAATAATAGGTATAATAATAATAGTATTATAATATAATAATACATGTATAATAATAATGTGCTATATAATAATAATTATAATAGACGGCATCGAAAGGCTGTCACTAGATGGCAGTGTTTACCCCAACAATGCTGGAGCAGTTATGGCCACCTCCACTTGTCACATAATGACACATTTTATTCATTCTGTAGTATATATCAGGTTTCTATGTTATTTATATTGTTTATTATGTCATATTAGAAGATGAATTGTGATAGATAAGTAAGCTGTAGAGTTGATATTAGGGAAATTATTGAAGCATTTTATGGTCCCTGGAATTCCACTGGAACGAATTAATTCCATTTCAGTTAATTTAAAGGAAGAAAATTGACTCTCCAAATGAGCAAATCCAGATCCGAGCAAGGTCACTGAATGGATTAAACTGGTTAGTGGAGGTTCCACTGTACTTTGTTTTGGGCTAAGTAATAAGCCTGCATCTGAGGCCATCTCATCATGTCTAAGGTGAATTAACATGGTTTTAAATGATGATGCCTCAAAGTGTAATGATTATTTATTAATGGGAGGTCAGTACCCACATGGAGACAGAAGAACAAGTGATAGCTTGTCTGTTTTTTAGTTTCCATCTGAGGCTCTCATCTATTGAAGAGGACTTCGGGAGGAGGTTCAAATTTACAATCTAGTCGCTTGTGTTTCTGTCTCCATGTATGCACTGACCTCTCAGTTTTAACCCCTAAACAGTCCAAACGTAGATCTACATTTTTTTTACATGCTTTCAAATGGGGAAAATCAAGGTCGGAGCACTATGCGTGTAAATGTAGATCTATGTTTGGACAGTTTAAAGGTTAAATATTAACAAGCTTAAACATTTCTGAGTATCAAAGTTTTTTTTATAATATCTGAATTTATAATTGTAGAATATACTTTAATACAGTTAATTATGCTAATCTCTGTAACACCTTACACAAATTTGTAAGATGTGTAACACCTTTCACAGCAAAAATTCAGAATAGTTGATATGCAGTTTTTCACAATACAGTGTGTATCACTACTAACATTTTTGCCTTAGTGATGTGTGTGTATACGTTATATGTTAGCAGGTGTGGCGACAGATTCGGGTGTTGGTGGAAGTGTTGGTGATAACCTCACCAGTATGGCTGTCTCCCAGCGGCTCTTCACCTCTGCAGCCCACAGCTTTGTTGCACAAGCATTAGAATGCATTCCAGAAAATCGACCTTCTGCAGAGGACCTCCTCCATCACCAGTTTATCAGACACACGCGGAAGCTTAATGGGACCCTGCCACAGTTTCTTCATCCTGTTGTTCCTCTGACTCAACAAACAGAGATAGGTGAGTAGGATAGGATATTGTTGTACATTTCTGCAAAAAGCTGTACATAGGAAATTCACCAGCAACACACCTATGAGCTCAAACAGCACTTTGCATCAAGCCAGTTTTATGAACTGAGCCAATATTTCTTATTACCTCTAGAAACCAACTTGAGCCCTATTTTTGGCCAATTTCATTGTCCCAGTCAACCAAACTCATAGCTATTTTGCTGGAACTCCATTTCTTCTATCAATTGAGCACAAGAATCCACCCATTTACCAAATTCAACTACACAGTAAAGTGGTCAGAAATTGGCAATTTGGCCAATTTCACACAAATTTCAAAAGATGCCGGTTTCAAAATAGGGTCCAGAATAAACAATGCAGATATTCCTGGCACTAAAATAACATTTTCTCTGTTCATTGGTCATGTCTCCAGGCTTCTCTTACATTACTCTTGCTTTCCATTTTGAATTTTTATTCACTAATAAGTGTCCGGGGCCCAAGACTGTTCAACAGCCTCCCATCAAGCATTAGGGGAATTGCCAATAAGCCCCTGGCTGCCTTCAAGAGAGAGCTGGACAGATACCTGAAGTCAGTGCCGGATCAGCCGGGCTGTGGCTCGTATGTTGGACTGCGTGTGGCCAGCAGTAACAGCCTGGTTGATCAGGCCCTGATCCACCGGGAGGCCTGGTCATGGACTGGGCCGCGGGGGCGTTGATCCCCAGAATAACCTCCAGGTAACTTAAAAAATATAAGATTTATTATTATGCAGACTACTGCATTATTGTAATAGTTGTACAGTGGACCCCCGCCTTACGAATGCATCGCATTACATTAAATCCGCCATACGAAGCATTTGAACACAAAAATTTTGCCTCATCTCATGATGAAACGCTCGCCTTACGTGATTCGTCTGGGACGCGTCCCACGTGTGGCCTCAGCGCCAGTGTTTACAAGCCAGCCAGTGCAGTCGCATCTACGCATACATTCGGTACATTTCACATTATCCCAGTGTTTTTAGTGCTTTTAAATGCAAAATAAGTCACCAAGGACCCCAAGAAAGCTTCTAGTGCCACCCCTGTGGTAAAAAGGGTGAGAATTAGTATGGAATTGAAAAAAGAGATTAAGGAAATGTGTGCAAAGTGGGTTGAACTGCAAACCTTTACAGATGAAAATAACCCTGACGCAGCTACTGCAAGCCGTGTTGGCAGCCTGTACAATGACAATGTTATGGCCCATTTTAGGAGTCTTAAAGGAACGGGAGGTACAGAGCTCTATGGACAGATTTGTTGTGCGACAGAGGTCCAGTGACTCAAGCTGGTCCTAGTGGCATTAAAAGAAGGGAAGTAACCCCAGAAAAGGACTTGCTACCTCAAGTCCTAATGGAAGGGGATTCCCCTTCTAAACAATAACTTCCACACTCTCCCCTCTTATCAATCATCACCAGATCTTCAATAAAGGTAAGTGTCATGTAACTGTGCATGTCTTCAGTTTGTGTGTATTAAAATTAATATTTCATGTGGTAAAAAAAAAAATTTGTTTCATACTTTGGGGTGTCAGGAACGGATTAATTTGATTTCCATTATTTCTTGTGGGGAAAATTAATTCGGCTAACGATAATTTCGTCTTACGATGAGCTCTCAGGAACGGATTAATATCATAAGGCGGGGGTCCACTGTATAAATAATGTCAACCCATTCATGACTGCGTCCAATACATGTCCAGCTGCGGTTGGACACACATTGGACGGTGACATTATTTGTTTACACTTGAATGTCGGCAAAAATCGAACATTTCCACTACTTTGAGCTCAATTTCAAGGTACTTTTCATTGTGAAACCAATCAAAATCATGTCCATTTCTGTAACATATCTTCCATTCTATAAAATGAGACCAAGAAAACGAGAATACAACCATAAATACCATACGAAAATACACCTCAAAGTCTGTGTTTTAAACCAAAAACACAGTTGAGTTTTTTTCTCTCTCGTGCACTGCATGCTGCAGGATTTTATTTTTATGCTGCGCGCACTGACCATACAGACCCATTCTCTCACATGTAGGTCTGCCACCTTTCATCCGCTAGAGTTGAAGCCGCTAGAATTTATGTGTATTAATATGTTGCCAACACTAGCTTGTAAGCCGTATCTATGTCACCGACAGTGAAAGGATTAACACTCAAATTGACCCCAAATTTAGTGGCTTTGAGATGGATGTGGCTGAGGAAATATCAAAAACCTCAATGATTAACTATGTGCAACACTTGTGCCACATCCTTTTAGTTTTGATGTCACTGGTAGTGGCATCCTGCTAGAATGTCCTGTCATAGACAAGTTCCCAGACTTAAAGATGACCATTGTGTTAAAAATAGTAATTAAAATAGTACAGTAGACTTAAATAACATAGTTTATGATTTCATATCTGAAACCTGCATTTTAGGAATGTTTTTTGCCACATTGGCTGTCTCCCACCAAGGTAGGATGACCCGAAAAAGAAGAAACGCTTTAACTGTCATTCATTCAATCACTGTTGTGCCAGAAATACGTCAACATCACATCTCAGATGACTCTCCGAACTTCAGTCGTCCTCATCCTTCCTTCCTTACGAATGTGGGCACTGCACTTCCCACTTCCAACATTCAAGTTCAGCTGTTTTTTCTTGAATTCCTCCATAAATTTTGCCCTGCTCCCACTTCAACATGTCAGATCACAAAAGTCACTTGCCTCCACTCCTATCTAACAGGTTCACATAAACCTGTTGGATATTGCAGCAAACTTTTTTGTCTTCGAAAGCTTTCAGTAATTATTTGTTTACACAATTATTATTACAATCAAAACTAAGCACTAAACCCACAAGGGTCATACAGCGTTGCAGGGCCAGATGTGCTAAAAGATGAAGTGTGTGAAGATCAGAGACCAGCAAGAGGCAGTCAATAAGGGTAGTGGAGAGCACTAAAGGGAAAATGTAATCAAAGTTGGTGTAATAAAGCTGTTGCTGATAAAAAGTCAGAGGGAGTCTGCATCAAAGGTGGAGTTGCTTCTTTATATAGTAAATAGTTTCTCTTTTTATAGTTAGTAGTGTAAACCTTCAAAATATTAAATAATGTTAGTATATAAGGATCATGTGGAAAATACCGTATAGATTTTCCGGAAATACGGTAATTTATAGGTAAATAGATACCCTATGTTGTATTTTTAAAAGAAGTATGTTATCGAAAATGGGAAACCTGTGGCTGGGGAGGTCAGTCGTCATTTTGTTTGAATGGAGTAAGACGTTAATTAATATTGTGAAGAATTTTCGTGCTCTAGAGGTTAAAATTGGGTTGACACCTCTCAAATAGGAGGCGAAATTGTTGGATGTGCAGTCCTGCATAACTTGAGATATCAGGCGACTGGACAAGACAGCTCCTGGAACCTCAGATAAGTCTGTTATGTTATAACTCTGGCCATTGTTATTTCATGTATAGACAGTGAGGTTTTCTGAGTATGATACAACTTAATCTCCAGTTAAATTGGTGAGTGATTTTTAAGATATTCTCCTTCTGTTATGTAATTGTGTATATATATAACCATTTATTATTTTTAATACACAGTCCACAAATTTATATATTTACCAGTATTCCTGGTGATACATATTTCATTGGTAATTAATAGGTCCAGAGCAACTTGTGGATATGACAGTTGTAGGTATCGAAGGGGGACATTTTTTGCGACCTAGGTGTCCCAAATTCCTACTTGTTTAACTGATAAATAATAATTATCTTT